CACAATCATACTAACTCCCTGCATTTTTTAAATTGTGAACAGTCTAGTGGAAGAGGTCTCCCTGATGGATTATGTGTTTTTCAGTTACATGATCTGTTAACCACTTGCGGCCGGGCGTAATTTGAAGTTGCATGATGTAAAACCGAGGGATTTTCAAGATTTCCCGTTTTTAAAATTCTTCAAAAGAATTCTTCACAAGTTTATTTACTGGACGTTTACACCCACACGAATGACTGTCTGGTTTCTACTCTAATCTGACAGACAACATCTGTTGATGCCCGAGTAGTTCAGCCAGACCTGCTGCCTTGTAAAAAGAGCCCAGATTGTGCGGTGTTATGTAATTTTCTTTTCTTCCCGAAACCAGCACAGTGCACTGCTGACGTCTTTTCAATAGGGGCCAGATTAGCATGCAGCTGTATTGTATCGCTCATCGCTGGAGCACTTTTGTCCCGGATGGTAATCCGCTTGTGCTGAATGCCACCAACAGTGGTATAATCTTTCAAAACAATGATGGATTTCCTCCGCTATTGAAAACTGGGAAAATCTTGGTCATTCCCAGCAGCTCAGTCTTTTGTTCCAAGTACGGTCTTTTGTCACAAGGTCCAGCTCTTTTGTCCGATTTTAGGCTCCGCTGTTGTGTATAAAGGCTATATGCTGAAACCGGGTACCCTGGCACGAAGTGGTTAGGGATTATGCAAGCAACAGTGTGCACATGGCTGAGTCAGTGTTGCCAAATGTTTGTGAATTTCAAGGATTTCTCATAAAAAGGCATAGGTGCAGTATAAGTATAATTTTATTCCCATATCATAAATAGAATACTAACACGGATATAATATCAACAAAAAAGAAATGATATGAGGATTCCAAATAAAAAGCAAAGGCTTGTACAAGATCTGGAACCTGTTATTAAGACATTAAATAAATGGTTTGATATGTATTTATTACAATTTATCAAGCAAACCAGCTTTTTCAGTTTAAAAGAAATCAGAATCACTACTTGTTTGGTAAATCGCAATTGTGAACACATTCATAAAATTAGACCTCACCAAATTGAAAGTATTACCATGCCTGATCATAAGAGGTATATTTCTCCAGTTTGTACATGGTTTTCAGAGGTAATGCTGATGTGTGAGGTTATTTTGTTGTTGGGCACACATTTCTGACACTGAATTTGGTTAGGCGAAATTGTTGGTTCCTGTGCCAAGGCCAGTTTCACTTCTGTTACCAGTACATTTTATCTTTTCAGAGATTCACAGTGGGAAGTGCCACCATTCCGTGTAATGTTTATGGTGCTTTGGTTTACATCTGAATTCCCCCTCCCCCTAGAATGAAGCAAGTATACATTGACATCAAGTCAGTCTTAATGCAGAAAGAACTAGCCTGTTGGCACCTTCTGTCCATAGAACAGTTTTCTCCTATGGCGCCCCCTCAGACCAACTGTTGAGACATTGCCTACATGTGGTTTTTCTGTGTGTCCCTGGTGGGTGTGTTTAGAGTTAGTTACCATGATGCAATTTGAATGTATGTCATTTTACAACTTAAGGCTGCATACGTGCCTGATGTTGGTTAACCCACATGTACATGTTGCGCAGACACACAACCACATTGTACATACATGAATGCTGAGGTTTCTCACTATTCATTCTGTAAGCGTAGCTTTTCATAATAGTTGGATTGATTGCCCTTAAGCTCCCCCCCCCACACACACACACACACACTCTTTTACAGTTGAGAAATTGTTCAGCAAGTGCTCCAGGCAATAATCATTAATCAGTCTTGACATTCTGACTTCCCAGTCAGGAAATATTCTTTCTCCCGACTGGGGGGAGGGGGGAGAAATAACCCGATTAAATTCCGCCCTCCTTTTCATGAACTGGCAGCAACCGCAAGCCCATGTCTGACCCCCACAGTCTGAGTTCTTTTCCAAGAATAATGTCTGGTCTGTGGTTAGGTTTCTGCCCTGACTAATGAGCATGGTGATGCTGATGTGCCAGTCACCAGTTCGCACCTCCAGGCTGGTATCTTGCTTAAGATTGCAGACCATAAGCTGCCGCAGACTACAGTGATGGGTAGTCCTGCTTAAAAAAAAACAGGAAAAAAAAAATCAGGTTTTCAGCTGTTCAAGACACATATCAAATTATTTAGACGCTCACTTCCTCATCCTTCATTTTCCTTTCAATTTTCAGTGACTTGACTGATGATTTTTGAAGATATTTCCCTCCATAGATGATCACCCCTCAAAACAGTCATGAAGCCCGTCGCCGTTTTGAAAATTGATGCTTCCATTCCTTTCAAAAATAGAATGATTTGGAGGGCTCAATTTTGTCTGACTATCCGAAATAAAGGCTGACAGCCATGCTGGTAGGTTCTGTCCTCCTTGTTTACAAACCATCCACTCCACGTGCCACAAAAAAAGAGATAATGTTCCAAGTCTAATGTTCAAGAATGAACATCTGCAGATAAAGGAACACATAATAGTTAACATGCCGAACCTCACAATTTGGAAGCTTTATAAAGAACGTGTCATTGACTGTTCACTCATTCATTCAGTCAGTTGCAATTCTACGCAAGTATGAACATAAAAAATGATAGTGGAAAGCGCAAAAGGAATGTTTTTTTGGCATGCAGATGTCAACCTCTTCCCGTGTAACACACTGCAAAATGTGACTTTTCCTTTAGTAACCTGTTGGTGGCACTGTGTGTTATGACGACGAGCTCCAATGGAGCTCTGTACGTAACTGTAAAAACTTAAAATGAGATCAGGTCTTGGAGCCTGAAAATTTGGTTCTAGAGAGCGGGAGTGGTATTTTTGAGTTCAACAGTGACATGCTAGATAAATAGTACCGTTGGTTTGCGGTAGCACCCATGTAAAATATCTCTTTTGCATGTGCGGTTCTGAG